ACAAAATATGATACTGTGAGCAGCCACATAAAGAGGATTGATGTTCAGCTTGCTCAAACAGCTGAGAGCGTCAAGAGGCAACAAGGGACGCTCCTTGGAAAAACTGATAAAAATCCTAGGGCGGAGCACTGTAATGCAATAGAGCAACCGTTTGCAGAGACTATTCTGGGCGCAGAAGAGAAGACAAAGCAGTCTGCTATCTCCAGAACGACTGCTCCTGACGAACCTACTGAGACTCCACCACTTCGAGTCTATGTTCCTAAAGTCCCATATCCTATTCCACCTAGACATCTGAGGGATCCCATTAGTGCAGAGAAGCTGGAAGGCTTTAATAAGATGGTGAGGAAGCTTCCTAAAGAACTCTCATTTGAAGATGCTCGGCAGATCCGGCCTTTGCATTTGTTCTTCACATACACTAGAGAGACTCAAGAGGAAATTAAAGCCCTCTATATCAAGGCAATGACCACGCCATCACTGAAGGTTTTGCCTACGATTGCTGACCCTGGTAAATTTCTTTTTCCATGTTCCATTGCTGGAGTAGAATTTAAGGACTCTCTTTGTGACTCTGGGTCTAGTGTGAATCTTGTCTCAAAGGCGATTGTAGATGAGTTGGGTATTGTGGATGTTGAGCCTTCTCAGGTGAATCTGGCTTTTGCTAACTCCTCCAGAGCAGTCCCTNTAGATGAGTTGGGTATTGTGGATGTTGAGCCTTCTCAGGTGAATCTGGCTTTTGCTAACTCCTCCAGAGCAGTCCCTTATGGCACCATTCGCAACCTTCCTGTCCAAGTTGGGGATTGTATTTTGCATGCTGAATTTGAAATTGTTGAGATGAGCAAAGATCATGAGATGCCTTTGATTTTTGGAAGGTCATTTATGGCTACAGTGGGAGCAATCGTCGACCTACCTAATAAGAGAGTCTCCTTCTCCAACATCAGCAAGAAGACTTTCTACAAGGCTGTCCCAACCAGGTCACAAATCCGATACGCCTCATGCATCTCAGTGGTTTGTGCAGAACAGCCAGAAATCGTTCCTAAGGAGCACTGTTCCAGAATAAGAGAACAAGGTGAAAAGAGCGAGATCAAAGAAGTCATGGATGGAGATCCTCACACTGATACCAATGAACTCCGTGGGAATGCAAGGGTAAAAGAAAAAGTCCAGAAGAAAAGGATCAAGGGTGGTCCTACAATGACTTTGATACCTCGCAAGTGTGATGAGAACTCCATTGAATATGAGGTAAAGTGCAAAGGTACCTCCAAACCGTTCTCTAAAGTAAGAGCTATCCTCACACATGAGTTGAAAGAGAAAGGAGAAGCTGCTGTAAAAGGGTTGTTGAGCAGAGTATTGAAGCTGAACATGTCTGATTGTGGAGCTTGTTTTGGAGCAAGCGCTCATGCTCAACCTGACTGAGCCCTATCACAAAGTCAAGCTAGTGACTTAAACCAAGCGCTTGGTGGGAGGCAACCCACTGGTAAGTGTAAATATCATTAAGATTTTCTTTTTGCTTATT